AAATACTACAATAGCATCTAAATGATATTACATTACTGCTGTCATGCTGGTATACACAATATTTTCTCATGTAGTTATGTGTTATGCGGTAGTTTTTTCAGTTAATTTTGTAACTTGTAAACACAAGTCTCTGGTAGCACAAGCTCTCTGTGTGTTTTCGCTGTTTTCTGAGACGTGTTTTTGGGATGGACGCTCTGAACACAAGCAGCTGTCGTTCACGTCACCGAGCCATAACATTTACACTGTGCTTCCTGTCTCTAACAGAGCCACTTCCTGCTGCCTTCATCCAGATCATATTTCCATCTCTAATTAAAGCTCTGCTGTCTCTGACTGACGAGCGGCGATGTCTGAATGACAGTGAAACTCTGTTTTCATGCCTCACGTGTGTGTGTGTGTATGTGTGTGTGTGTGTGTGTGTGCGTGAGTGTGTGTGTGCGTGAGTGTGAGTGTGAGTGTGCGTGAGCATGAGTGTGTGTGAGTGTGCATGTGCGTGAGTGTGTGTGTGTGAGTGAGTGTGCGTGAGTGTGTGTGTGTGCGTGAGTGTGTGTGTGCGAGTGTGCATGTGCGTGAGCGTGAGTGTGTGTGAATGTGCGTGAGTGTGTGTGTGTGAGTGTGAGTGTGCGTGAGTGTGTGTGTGTGTGTGTGTGTGTGTGCATGAGTGTGTGTGTGCGTGAGTGTGAGTGTGCATGTGCGTGAGCGTGAGTGTGTGTGCGTGCGTGAGTGTGTGTGTGCGTGAGCGTGCGTGAGTGTGAGTGTGCGTGTGTGAGTGTGCGTGCGTGCGCGTGAGTGTGCGTGTGCGTGAGTGTGCGTGTGTGAGTGTGTGTGTGCTTGAGTGTGCGTGCGTGCGCGTGAGTGTGCGTGAGCGTGTGTGTGCGTGAGCGTGTGCGTGAGTGTGTGCGTGCGTGTGTGCGTGCGTGTGTGTGCGTGAGTGTGTGCACTGATGTCAGACTCATTTTGGATAATAAAGTTTATTGTTAAATTGTTAAATGCCCTGCCTCCATTACGTATCTCTGTCACGTCATTATAAGTGTTTGATCACAACATTTGAGTGATCATTGCAAAAAATGTGTTTATGTATATATATTCTGTTTATATATATATATACATATATGTATATACTGTATTCTATATAT